GGTAAAAATGGGTTTTTCTCATTTTTGACCCTAATAACAAAGATTTTGCCATTTCTTTCTAAGCCATTTTGTAGAGCCTAAAAAAGGAATAATTTAGTATTTTGAAGTGCTGTTCTATGCCTAACGGTCACGGAGAAGATTAAAAAAAGTTTAATATGTATAAAATTACCATGTTATTCTTATAGAGGAAATGAAAACTGTTGTAGTTTACTTGATTATGGACATATGTTGATAAAACTTGGCAAATTTATTTATTTCATCCTATACTATTGACTTATAGTCAAGAAACACTTTTTACCTTCCCTGTAGCAGCAAACCTAAGCATTTGTTAATTATAATTTGTTATTAAAATTGGGAATAAATATGTGTTATTTAAGGAAATATTTAAAGAAAAAAAGTAATCAGACAAGTTGAAATTCGCTTAGTCTGCAGGTTTGCTGGGGCGGGGGTATTTTAGCTTGATATCGAATATATATATATATATATAGGGAATAAGTAAAAAATAAGGTTTGACAATTATATAGGGATATTTAGGCAAAGATCAGGATTTTTGTAATTGGTGGCTAAAAAATTATCCCTATGTTATTCTTATGGGAAAAACGCCTAAAATGAGGTCACATTGTAATATTGCCACTACTGTGCTTGATGGTTTTCAGTTCTCTATTGTAGCTCTGCTCTGTCATTGGGACATTAAAAAAGCAAAAGTTATTAATAAGTTAAAACCTAAGATAAATCAAAATAAAGCTGACCAATCAGGTGTATTTAAAATAAAATGCGCTAGTTGTCCGAATACATACATTGGAAAAACAGGACGTTCCTTTAGCATTAGGTACAAAGAACATCGCCCAAACAGAAAGACTGACAAACAAAAATCCACGTTCGCACAACACCTGGTGGTGTCATTAGTTGGTAGTCCATCTCAACAGACTGCACCACGTTTTTGGCTTCAAAATTTTACATTACATGGGAATTCTATTCTCTGTATAATCAACTGTTCAAATTAGCTGTTGTCATAACTTAAAAAAAATAATAGTGCTGTACCCTGTTGGCATACCTTAAAAATTTTGAATGCTATTGAATGTCATAGAATCAACTCCTTTAGTTGAAACAGCTGACAAAATTCTTTAATTACTTTTAAATATGAATACTCATAAGGTTAACACCGGCAACTACAGAGCCACTGGGGTGGAGCCTGAAAGGATTTTTGAGATAAGAATATGCCTATATGTTAATGGGAATGTGAGCTACCATCATGCACAATTTCAGACCAATCCGACCAGTAGTTAATGAGTGATTGAACCCCAAACAAACAAACACACAAAATTTCACGTTTATAATATTAGTATGGTCATAGACAAAAATAATTAAATATAGACCATAGACTGTCAGCCGTGCTGTGGTTACCATGGTCAGGCCCAGACTGGCTAGGTCCGCAGGTCCTCAAACGCGGAGCGCCCCCGGCTGAAGGGGACATTTTCTCGCTTGAAAATACAAAAGAACGTTGTTACTTGTTAGAAGTTATCAAACGTTCTTAGTAACGATTTGTTTACATTTTCCAAACTAGAGAACTGTGTTTAACAACTGTTTGTATCTTGCCGTTTATATAAAGGCAGAGATCCATTGACTATATATCATAACTTGGTATATAGTTATGGTATATACTCAATGATACAACCTACAGTAGCCTATTGAAAGTTGAGTTGCGTTGTTGTAGTGTAATACATCGTCTGCGCGGTGACTTGTGTTGTAGTTAGGAGAAAACAGCTAAGTGATGCTCTATCATATTAGCTTATTACTACAGCATAAAGACAGCGCAAAAAAGACAGGAAAATAAGAAAAAAGGTACTGGACTCTTTCCGAACGATGTGCTGATTCTAGATGCCCCCGATTCTGGAACATCAGTATGGTTACCATAGGTTTTGGCGCACACCACTGGGAGCGCCGTGTAGTTACGTAGCGCTAAAGCCGTAACTACATGGCGCTCCTAGCGGTGTGCGCCAGAACCTATGGTAATCGCAGCACAACTTAGGTCTATATTCAATTATTTTTGTTCGTATGGTATACATACACAGTAGGCCTACTAATGGTACATATCTATTACCTCCTAGTACCTCACAGCTATACTGTAGCTAATTTATCATTTGTTTAGGTCGGTGGGGAATTCAGTAAGCTACCTTTAGCAATTGCTCTTCAGAAAAACTCTCCTCTTAAAGAACCATTCAATAAGGTGTAAGTATATTTTAAATTAATTGAAAAAACATTTATTCTACCTATGTAATTCATACAATAAATATATATGTTTTGATTATAAAACTTTGATTTTTTAGTTAATCATTATTTAATTTTGATTCCTATTAAACTAGGCCTTGATTGACACACCTGGTGCAAAGTTAAATGACCTTGAGGTTGGGTAAAGGATAGAACTGCCAAACAGAGCCGCAGACACTTTTTTGGATCGAACCATTAGTGACCTTAAGGCAGTAGTTAAAAAAATTAAATGGAATGAATTGTTCAGAATCTTGTAAGTAAAAAAATTATGATTAATTAATTTTGATTAATGTGTAAAATTTAATAGTATTTTCCTTGTGTTTCTCCAGTTTACATAACAGACTAAAATCCATTACAGTGGTTATGTTTTTCATAGTGTGTTTATGATTTAGAGTACATATCTCTATGATAAGACACTATGTAATTTACTATGACAAAATACATGGTTAATACAAATATTTTATTTCAATATATATTTTCTGTATTGTAAAACTCGCACTGTAAACAACTTTTCAGACTGAATGAAATGCTTACCCAACGCAGATTGGCAAATCTGAAAGAAAAATGGTGGGAAGAAAACCCGGCTCGTATAACGTGCAAATCCCAGGATTCCTTCACTGATGAAAGGACCTACCTCACTAATATTGGTAATTAAAAAAAAATTGATTAGTATTTAATAATTCCGTAATGACATTTTTCAATTTGGCTATTTAATGGTGGAAATTAACTATTTTTGTTTAATTTATTTGGGTTTAACACTAGGATTTTTGTAATCGATTGTTAGTAATTTGGATTTTTAGTAATCGAGGGGGCCCATTTTTTACCCTGCCAGTGCCCTAGGCAAGACTAATTAATAGTAGTGCCAATTTACATTTTGCAATATACAGGGTGCCCATAAAAAACGTTTCAAGACTTTGGGAAATTAATCCTCATACTAAAAGAAAAAAAAGTATCTGAAGGTATATCCGAAAATGCATATTTCTGGACATATATCCGCCATTTTGTTTTTTTACAAAAATATTTTTATCTGTGAAGTTTTTCATTCAATGATTATGACATTTGGTAAGCATGTTAGCATACACAAGACCTATTATAGAAAAAATAATAAAGTTGTTCCGATTGTTAATTTTAAAATGGCAGCCGTTTGAATTTTTATAACTTAAATAACTAAAAAACGGCTAATTATATGAAGAAATGTCATGGATACTTTTTTTGCATTTTTAATTCCCTATCAAAGGATACCAAGATCATAAATATCGTACAAAAATTACTGAAACATAACGTTTTTAGTGTAAAAATATTAGTTATTAGGGGAACACTTTATTTTGCCTGATCTTAAAAATAAATACCCCCGCCGCAGCAAACCTGCAGACTAAGCGAATTTCCATTTGCCTGATTAGATTCAGACTTAAATGTCTCCGACAAACAACTGAAACAGAAAGTATTTAGTGTATTTCTTATATAGGGAATAAGCTATTACCGTAGTACTCATGGTAAGACCTGGACCTTGGACCGATTTACTTTTTCGTGTTGAGGTCCCTATTGGACTAAAACACCATCCGTTAAAATTTATATATACATATGTATCCGTTAGCACGATAACTAAAGCAAAAATGATCCGATTTTGATGAAATTTGGTATAAACGTGTAAACCTACATTTATTTGAACGAGTTAGCGAACCAGCATGAACGGACTATGGGAACGGGGATTTATGGGGGATTTAATGAGGTAAAAATTGTGTTTTCTAATTTTTTACAAAAACAAAAATCAGCCATTTCTTTCCAATCCAATTTGTAGAGCTAAAAAATAATAATTTAGTATACTGTATTGAAGGGTTATTATGCACCTAATAGTTAAGGTGAAAATTCAAAAAAATGGTAAATTTTAATTTCCCATGCTATTTTTATGGAGAATAAGCAAACTCTTGTTTCTTCATTTCTGTTGTTTTTTGCCTCCTGGTCACAAATTTAAATTAATTTAGATCTTAAAATACCTTTTAATCCGTCAGTGTGATCATATGTCAGCGATTAGCGGCGACCGGTTTCAGCCCAGCTATTAGGCCATCTTCAGGCGATGAAAGAACATAAATATCACTCCGAAGAGGTTGTCAGAAAGTCTATAAATACGTCAGGAGAAACAACATTTAAATACTTTTTTTACAAAACACAAACAAAAACACGTGTGGCCACAAATTGACTGCACGGTGGACGGTACGCGCACATTAAAATGCTAGTCCAGACTGTCGTCACTGCCCAACAGGGAAATACAGGGAAGAAAAACCATTTACATAATTTTTTTACAAAAAACAAACAAAAACACGTGTGGCCACAAATTGACTGCACGGTGGATGGTACGCGTACATTAAAACGCTAGTCCACACTGTCGGTCCCAGGTCCAGGGCTTACCATGAGTACTACGGTAATAGCGATCGGAAATTCACTAAAAACTTTCTATTTCAGTTTGTCATATTATTATAATTTGTAATACATATGTATTGTTATTCGTTCTGGCTAATAAATAAGTTCCGTAGACCAGAGGTCAAACATGATAAGGGCGCGACTTGCATGTCCCCCACCCCATTTGTTAACTAGCCTAGACGCTTCCTTAATAAACTGGGCTTTGTAGCAGCAAGACGTGTTTTATTAAAGACCCGTCATAAGACATGGCGCAGTACGAAAATGGCTAAAATGTTGTTTCTACAACCAGTGACAATTATGTTTATACTCATGTGCGTGGTATTAAAAGTATTTTAGAGTGCGTATAATTAATGCAGTGAGATAGAAATGAAGCCTGGACAGGGAGAAGAAAAGACTACGGCGGGTAATTGACAAGGTCAAGAAGGACGCTCATCGACTTCATCGTCACCAGCTGCCGCCATTGTGGTACAAAATGCAGCACCGCCAATTAAAGTTCCCTCTGAGTTGAGTTGGACAGGTAACATGGCCAAGAACTGGTCATTTTTTAAAGAGAGATTTGACATTTTTATGGTTGCAAGTAAAAGCAACAAAGAAAATAGTGAATATCAAATTGCTCTTTTATTATCAGTGATAGGCGATCGCGCACTCAAGATCTATAATAACTTAACGTACTCAGCTGATGAAGATAAAAGTAACATTAAAGTTGTAATTGATAAGTTTGCTAACTATTTTATTCCTACCATAAATGTCACGTATGAGAGACATGTTTTCTTTTTAAGGGAACAGAAGCAAGATGATAGCATTGATAGTTATGTGACTGACTTAAGAGATTTAAGTAGTACATGTGAGTTTGGTATTTTGACTGATAGTCTAATTAAAGATCGCTTGATTTTAGGAATAAAAGACAGGACTCTGAAAGATCGTTTATTAAGGACTAAAGATTTGACCTTGAGTTTAGCATTAGACATTTGTAGAGCCTCAGAGACGGCTAATCATCAGTTACAAGAAATTTGCTCCACAGAATCAGGTTCAAACATGGGCCTACATAAAGTAGACATCGACAGACGCAAACCAAATCGACAAGGCAGCGACTTGATGATGTCAGATGCTATACGTCATAGCAACCATCGCAAACGGAAAGGGCTTGCTGGAGGATTTCCATCAGCTGATCGGAACCGTCCCCCTCCCACTACATCTACGTCGGCTGCAGCTGCAGGTTTCAACAACGACAAACAACGATCACATTTTGCAGGTTACAAAAAGTTTAGTGGTTCGGTAAAAAAGTGTTTTAAGTGTGGTTACAACCATAATTTTAATGGGAAATGTCCTGCGTTTGGTAAACGTTGTGGTAAATCTGGAATCATGAATCACTTTGCAAATCAGTGCAAAACAAAAAATGTAAATAGTATGAATGATCAGATTAATGTAAATAGTAATATTGATGATTTGTTTGTTGGTTCTCTGAATACTATTCACTGTGTGTCTACAAAAAATCGTAAACAATGGAACACAGAGTTGTTGGTTGAAAATCATCCTGTTATATTTAAAATTGATACAGGTGCCGAAATTAATGTAATTAATCAAAATGTGTTCAATTCTCTTGGTACAGATGTCAACCTAGTCGACACTGATGTGCACCTAACCTCCTATACAGGTCAGAGGTTAAACGTAACAGGTAAATACACTTTAAATGTAGTTCATAAGAATGAAACTCACATCTTAGAATTGTATGTTGTAAAAGCTAAAGCTCCATGTATTTTAGGTCTCTCAGATTCTGTTGAGCTAAACTTGATAAAAAGAGTAAACTCTCTTCAAAACAATGAAGTAGGGCTAGGGTCTAGTTCTGACACAAGTGCTAATAGGTCTAGGCCTACTTGTAATCAGGTTAAAGGTGAAACTTGTACTGATATATTTAATGATTATCCTGATTTAATGTCTGGTATTGGTTGTATGAAAGGTTCGTACAAAATTGTGCTCAAAAATGGTGTAGCACCTGTAATTCATGCTGCTAGAAAGGTACCAGTAGCAATTGTACCTAAGCTTAAAAGTAAACTTGAGTCCTTAGTTAGGCTTAAAATTATCGAAAAGGTCGAACATCTCACTGAATATGTTCAATCACTGGTAATTGTATACAAAAAAAATGAAGATCTACGATTGTGTTTAGATCCCAGAGAGTTAAATAATGCTATAATGAGGCCACACTTTCAAATTCCCTCCTTTGAGGAAATTGCTAGTAAAATGGCAGGTGCCAGATATTTCAGTACTTTAGATAGTAAAAATGGATTTTGGCACGTTCAACTAGACGATTAGTCTTCGGACCTTTACAATCCCGGTGTTACAAAAACACAGTAAAGGGCAAGGAATCTATATATTAATACGCAAGCAGTTTTCTTTTCACAGTCATAACTCAATAACGGCTTGATGGATTTTAAAGTTTGAGGTGTCAAATCAAAGGTATTTTCACGTAGTTGTGCAAATACGCCTCAGAATATTAAGAAAGGGCATCATTTAAGTACATTTAAGGGCTAAAGTTTGGAAGGTGGCGCTATCTGTTGACATTAGATCAAACTCATTTCCTTTTTTTTACAAATAAAATAACATATGGACGTAGTTTGAAATAGTTTTTAAGGTTAACCACAGACTGCAGGACCGACTTATTACTTATTACTTACAGAGCAAAGCCGGAATTTTATATTTGTATTTAAACATCTGTTAACTAAGTCTGGTTCATAAATAAAGAGTTTACTAGCAAGATCTGACAACAAATTAATTGTTTGTAATGGTTATTTGTAATGGTTGAATTTATTTACCTTACATCGTATTTTACTGAATTATCATGTAGTTTTGGTTATAGTTTGGCGTGATTAAGTGAATGTTTGAAAGTGATTAATCACAGTGCAGTTACCCGTTACATTACAATATTATCATGTAATTTTGTATCAAAATTCCTTTGTAGTGTTTTCTGTTGATTGGTTAACTTTCCTATTTTATCTAAATTTAAAATTAAATGCCACCAGTAAGACAAAGAACTGTGAGTGGCTAGAGGGAACGCAAACGTGGCCGCTTGCATCAACCTACCAATTTGACGGATACAGAGTGGCAGTACCGCCGTCGTGATACATCCAATCTCGGACAAATTAACGTTAAATTTTTACATTGTGGTGGCTTACATTTTAAGCAAGAAAAGACTGGCCGAGACAGTTCAATTATTACTCTTTGTTGCCATAAA